TTCAGGAATCAGTTGGCATAAGCCAAACTGCCTCGAAACGAAGTTTGGTTGATAGGCAAAAAGGAGAATTTGATTCTTAGCTGGGGTTATCCTTGAAGAGATGAGTCTAGGAAGCAAAAAAGCTCTCCATACATCTTGGATCTCCTTGCTCTTGATGGCTTCTGAGAGAGCCATGGTGAACCAAGAGGGTCCATGAGTCCTCGAAGCAAAAGGCGCCATGCTCTCTTCGAACTTATGCCTTTTGGAGAGGATCATGATGTACTTCGAGAATTGAACCTTGAAGTCATCCTTGTCATCATTAGGAGTTAGTCTTCGAAGCCTAGTGCCTTCGACTATCCTATCACTTATTTCTGAATCTTGCTCATCTATGGTGTTGGCGGTTGGTAATGAAGGTTCGAACATGGCGTTTAGCCATAATTGGAGTAACCAAAATGGGCCAGCTAATAGGATGTTTTTAGAGGTGTGGGATTTGAGACTGGAAACGGCTGACCTCAGGCTCTCATAGAGGTCAACTAAGAGTAATTCACTTAGGCACACTTTGCGTTTTTCGTGTAAATCCCTAGCTAGAGGAATGAATCTACTAGCTACCTGCAGGGATCTACTGCAGAAAACGTACCTAGACAGCCATAGGGTTAAGAATGCAATATGCTCTATGTCAGACACATTATCCCCTTCAGCATGATAGTGGCTGATAAATTTGGAAAAGCTGGCTAACTTGACTTCGAAGTCAATTATACTGGAGTGTTCTTCATTGTCAGGAACATAAGTTTCTCCCACTGGTGACAGCCCAGTAATAGCCGCTATATCAAAGAAAGTTGGGGTAATCATTCCACCTGGGAGATGGAAAGTATTGTAGGTACTATCCCAGAAGTAAAGGGACGCGAACAGCAGAGGGTGGCTATAGGTGAATCCAGGTTTCGATAGCTTAATGAGGTTATAAATGCCTAGTTCTTCCCATTGCTGGGATTTTTTGGCTTCTACTTTCGCGAACCAATTTTGATAGGAAATATCAGAAGTAGGGCAAGATCTAAATGGTTTAAAATTGCTTTTTACATAATCCAAAACAAATGGGTCCTTGGGAGGAACAGTTGGGGTTTCTGCGGTATTCGAACTGAGGGATTCTACTACCCTAGGGGTATCCATTTTGTTGAATAAAGGTTTGAAGCTATAACATACGGGAAAAATTGTCCTGGTGTCCTTTAGTATTTCAAAAACTGTAAGAGGACCATTTAAGGCTAACCTCTTACCAGCAACATGGGTAGGGATGAGTACCTGTGATGCGTACAACATTTCTTTTTCTTTGGAAATCATTTGAGGAGCAAGAGCAGATTGGCCTTGAATGGTGACGATTTTACTCTCCATGGTTGCTCCTGTAGTCTTTCCCTTCTTCTTTGAGACTTTCTTGAGTTGGGAAGAGGTGGAGGAAGACATTTTTTGTTGTTTAAGAGCTTAGATTGTGTATGAGAGAAAAAGAGTGAAAATTCAGAGTATGAAAGATTTAGAGTGTAAAAAAGGAAAAGGAAGAGTAAATTGACGTTTTATAATGAGAAGATTAAACATCCACCGAGTAAAAGTGTGATACGTGAAGATCATGGATTGGTGTGATGAAGAGGTGGCGAGAAGGTGATATAGGAAATAGGCGTGATTTAAAAACAATCATTACCTATAACTGCTCCACGCTGTGAAGTGACTCTGGGCGGTTAAGGAACTCAAAAGGTGCTATGATTGATGTGACTGGAGTCAAAGGCATTAAATGTTATGATGATTCGAAAATCCTATCAAAATCTTGTATAAATGTTTAAAATAGGTATTTCTCAAAGAGATCGAAATACATATTTTAAAGGGGCAATTTGTTGGCTGAAGATTTTGATAATGTTATCTAGAATTCAAAAGAGTTAAAAGTTCTGATCGAAATGGAATTGAACACCATATTTCGAAGTTGCAGAAGCAGTGTTTCGAATGAGTGTGTCAAAGCTTGAAGCTTCGAACGATGATCATGGGAAAATATCCAAAGGGGTCTCGAAACAACAGCGAGGCTAGGTTTGGGAAGAGCGTTCGAAACGGAGAAACACCAAAGCATTTAAAATTTAAATGGAAGCGGGACTTTCAAAGTTTGAAAGTTATGTGTTGGAGCATTTGGGGACACGTGGAAAGATGAAAGAAGCATTGTCTTGCATGTTCGAAACGTGGCATAATCCTATAGCGAGACCGTTAGGGTCGAATTAGTATAAATAGAAGTCTTAGTATTAGGATTTCAGTGTGTCATATCTGTTATACAAAATACTCAATAACATTCAAACTACCACATGGCAAGGGAAACGAATGCAAGAGAGATGTATGTATGATAGCACCATGTATTTCTAATTTAATGAAAGCCTTTTTTCCATTTCCAGTACTTTCCTCTTTTCTTTTTATCGAGTAACATTTACAAGTTTCTTTATTTATCGTCTTTTCATTTCAAAGTCTTTTCCTCAAAAGTTTTACTCTTTATTGCTTTCTTTATATTTCGAGCACTTTATATTTCAGAGAACTGTTACGCTTTCAATACCTTTACTTCCAAGTATTATTTTTCAAACGCATCTTTTTAATTAAACTTGCATTAAACGCTTTCTTTACATTTTAAAATTCTACATTCCAGAAACCTTTTATGTTAAATGTTTTGCAAATCGAAATCATTTACTTCATTTTCCATACAGTTTTACATGTCTCTTCAATCAGCATTACAATTAGCATTTATTCGTATAATTTAGTTTTCGTGCACAATTCGACCACATTTTAAACTCTTAGAGAGAAGGATCGAAATAAAACAAACACTTGTACAATAGCAACCATGAATAATTGTTCGATTGTGAGAGTAACTTTAATATCCAAGGAGTCCTAGGATCAATCTAGTCGATCCTGTGAGTTACCAGAGAGATTGAGTAGCGTTAATAAAGATTATTCGATAGTTTGGAAGACTAGCGGTTGTTTACCAGAAATCACTGGAAACAATGATACAAAATGCTCGACAAGTTACTTATGTTTCTAGTGCTCATGACCATTTGAACTCTCCTAATCTAGTCAATAATGAAGATACTGAAAATGGTATTAATTATTTCTCACTAAAGTTGCTAGTATTTTTAGTAGTCATATTATCTATGTTGAATTGTTTTATTATTCATTTTTTTGTTTTAATTTCTTGTAGGTGAAGATTAAAGGATGATATGAGAGATTTGATGATGAAAGTTGTAGATTATTAAGTGAACACAATTTGTTTTGGAGTTGGAACTTTGTTTATTTTATAATTACAAAACTATTTTTTTTGGGTTATTAGTATACTTTTTTAAAGTTATGTAGAATTGATATGATACAATTATCATTAATTTAGTTTGTAAGAATTTAAATTAATTTTCATATACATGACACTTTTGTTACAATTTATTTCTTAAGTAAATTAGTTCAAGTGTTTGATTTCTAATTTAATTAGTTTAACGAGTGTGTATATGAGTAAAAAAATTGACATTGAAATATATAATAATATATATTAATGTAGATTAAATGTAGGAATAACAAAAATTAAATAAATAAATAATTCACATCAAGATTTATACCTACGGAATTTTAAAAAATTCTAACCTTTAAGTAAGGTCTATACCTAATAAAAAAAATAGACCGTAGGTATACTAATTAAGTATACTACCATAACTATTACCTATGGTGACGGAAAATATACATAGGTATACAAAATTATAGCTTATTAGTCATTAGGGTTCCATATTTTTATGATCAATGAGATATTGTTCTTAAGTATACCCTCAAATAATGATTGTTACCTCACTCATAATAATTTTTCGTACAAGGAAAAGTTTATCTTAAGAAACTAATTCTCGGAACAGAATTTCAAGAAATACTTGAAAATTTTGACAACTAAAGAAAATGAAGAAGAGGATCTAAAAACTCAGAGCATAGAAAAGAGTGCAAGGAAGGAAAATCTTAGATGCTTTTGGTGTGCTTTGAGATTAATATAATTGACTTTTAAAAAAAATATAATTTCTTTATTTAGAATCTTTAAAAAGCATCTTTGAGCACTTGTTACTGTGACTCATATTTAAAATAGAGATTAAAGATAATGCATGTTAGGGTAAATTAAATTTACATAATTGTTTAATAGAATTATAACATTCAACCATGTCATATTAATATTTTGAAATTAAAAACATGACTTATTTTAATATATATTTATAATTGGTTGACAATGTAAAAAAAAAAAAATTCTCTTTAAAATTTGTGTAAGTGATAAATGTGAAACTTCAATGTTTTTTTTCTCTTTTTTTAACTCAGATTAGAAGTTTGACCATTGACAATTATTCCAACATAATGTTTCTATATTAATTGTTCCAAAATCAAAAAACAAGTTGTTTGTGTGAACGCACCCCTCTCTTTGAATTCTAACAAAGTTCCTTTCCAACAAATATTTGAATCATAGTTGACAATGTTGTGAGTACTAACCCTTTTCAACCTACCCTATACCCTATAAAACAATAAACACAATAGTATATAGAATATTTGTTTATTTTTTACAGATAAAAGTCAGTGGTTTATCTGATTTGGAAGGAAGAATATGTTAGCACCAAGCATTAAATATTCTTGAATCTCCTTATACAATTCTTATTCAACATCTCAACGTACGCATACCATTGTTATACTCTACTTATGAAACAATATAAAGATTATAAGTTATACGTATTAAGTATAAATAATTAGCCAATGGTATTAAGTTATAGGTTGTAGACTATTTACTCAAATATAAAGATAAAGAAAAGTGTACAAAGTTGACATTTCAAACGCTAATACGTGTTTTTGTTCTCATCAATAGCATATATATATATATATATATATATATATATATATATATATATATATATATATATATGCTTCTTTCTCTATAAATCCAACACTCAACAAACCACCAGAAATAGATATCAAACTCACTAAATTTGGAGAAATAAATACAGAGAAATATGCCAATGATGCAAATCTACAACTGTATATCTAAAAAATCAGTGATAATTACCATGTAAGTATACGCTTCTTCGGTTTTTTAAATGTTGAACATTTTCCAGAACTTTTTTTTTGTTTAAATTATTATTTTCAAAAGTTAAAAGAGTATTAATCATTAGTTTGTTAAAATTATTTTTTAGTTATTTATTATGAGTTAACATAATATTCAAACTGACTGAAAATTTTAAAAAGTTTTGAATATTAATGCAATTTAAAGAAAATAATTAATTTTATATGTAAAAATAAACTATATATAATTTTACAATATTATCATTTTTTAATAATATATGAAAGAAAAGTTTAATAATTAGAAAAAAATAAGAGTGTTGCAAAATAGAGATTATAGTTGAATATTATATTAAAATTATAATAGTGATTTATAAATTTTAAAAAATAGAACAGAGTTATATATATAGCTAAGGTTTAAAAAAGTAAAATAAATCCAAAAATCATACATGTAGCTTCTTATTAAATGTTTGAAGGAATTCTTTGTTTTCTTTTGTAATTGCTCACTAAGAAATAGCATCTTTCTAAATTTTATATTCTGAATTTATGACTTATAACTTATAAATTTACATGGTAACAAAATTCCATTATCCAAGAGTATGAGATGGTAAGGGATCTTAGTCACTGACATTCAAGTGTTAAATATTTTTAAAAATTAATCTCTGCAGTTACGTATAAAAGATATTCAATTTCTAATTTTAGAGCTATAAACACTGCTATAAACTATTTGTTATTTCTTTTGAAACAGAGGCGGGTTATATTTAGTGTTTCTTCTCGGAAAATTCATTAACGATAAAAACAAAACACAAGCTGAAAGAAGTAGAATAAGAAAACCAGGTGGCACAGGTGTAGGAGGAGGAGGACGTGATCCAGGTTCGACTGCTGTTGATCAGCCACCGGAAATTTGACTTTTGCATTCGATTTCACTCTCAATAAGTGGCTGATCATTTTTCTTTTCTTTTTTTATCCTCTTGGTGGACTTGACATGCTTTTTTAAAACACATTAATTAGTTTGGAGTTGTTTTAGTTTAATTGGATTTTGCTTATTATTCTTATTGTGATTAAGGAATTTCTGTTTTTCCTTTCATTTTAACATAATGTTCAACAAGTTGTGGACAGATGTATCAAATGAATTCGCAATATTACATTGAAGTGATGATTGAGGATAGTTATTTGCTAGTCAGTTTATATATTACATTGAAAGTGTTAGTAGTCGGACAAAAACGTGGGTAGTTTTTATATTTCAATTTCTCATTTGTGTAAGGAGTCCAACTATAGAGATTTAAGAAGAAAATGTTGTTGATGGCCTACACATATATGGACAGAGTCAATAAAGATGTTTTGTGGTTTCATAACTCTTGATTTAACAATCATATATATGGGAAGAAGGAATATTTTTCAAATCTTAGACAAATATTACAAATATTTGTCAAGTTGGACAATAATTCCACCAAAAGTGTAACGGAACGCGTAATATAAGGTTAAACATATATGGTGTAAGATATATTGTTAACGGAGTCTTCTTTGTTTTAGAATTAGTATTTTGTTTCAACGTGAAAAATGCAAAGTTCTCCGCCTTTAAAGTGTTTTAATAACGGTAAACAAAATATTTTCAATCTGCAAAATCCACTTGCTTTCACAAAGTAAGAGAAGATATAATGCATCTTTAGCATTATATATATGGACACTTAAGTATTTTGGGTTTAAATATACTCAGCAGAAGAGTATGGTAAATGACTTATGAAAACTGAAGTCGTCAAATAGGTTGTGCAATGACTGTTTGGTAGGGAAGGAGTCAAGAGATTCATTTCCAAAAAAAGCGCTCTGAGGGCTACACAAATGCTACAAGTAATTTACGGTGATATTTGTAGTCCAACCAAACCTATCTCTACCAGCAAAAAGAGGTATTTGATTACCTCTATCGATGATTTTAGTAGAAACACATGGATTCTTAACAGAAAAATCAAAAGCACTTTTTGTTTTCAAAAATCTTAAGATTCATGTTAAAAAGGATGCAAATTTGTTTATTAGATGTCAACACACTGACTGTGGAGGAGAGTTTACATCACATGAATTCACCGATTTTTGTGATGAAAATGGTATACAAAGGAAAGCGAGATCTGCATATACGCCAAAACAGATTAGGGTTACAGTACGGAAGAACAAAACCATTATAAACATAGTTCATAGCATGCTCTCATAGAAGAGAATTCCCAAAATCTTTTGGCCTAAAGTTGTCAACTAGCTTGTGCATGTTTGAACCAGAGTCCAATGTTAGTAGTGAGAAATAAGACGTAAGAAGAAGCTTGTGAAAGTACATGAAACACAAGAAATGAGGAGTTTGAATTGAGTTTCTAGATAAAAAACTTTGTCTACCCAACACAATCAAAGATGAAACAAGAACAAAAATAAATGAACATAATTATTTTTATCATGTTTCACTATAAACAAAGTTAGTTCAGTCCATCCGCAAAGGTGATTTCACCTTATCAATAAGGACTTAATCCCCTATAACCAAACTGATTACAACCACAAAGACTACCTGTCAATTTCTTCTTGATAAACTCACACTATACCCTAGTCTCCCAAGGAACACCAACTCAAAAGTTGAGATAAAAAGGTGTATTTAAAAATATGCTTCTATGAAAGCAAATTACACAAGTTTGAAATACAATGATAAACACAAAAGTGTTTATGAGCAAGTGTATGAACAAAAGTTTCTTGCTTTACAACTTTTCTCATAAAATGAAATATTTACATTCAAGAGTTCACGTGAAAAATTGTTAGGGCAAAAGTTCTTGAGCAAAAGTTATTTTCCAATTCTTCCAATGTTTCAGGTTCCAGATGTTTTTTTGTATAACGGTCAGTGAGAGTGACAAATAACATTATGCCATAGTATTGTCTCTGCGCTATAAAATCCGAGTAGTGGGAGGAATATTTGATCTTGTATCATATACTATTTACTCAAGTAAAACCTTTTTTTATCTTATCTTCTAATCTTCGGAGGCTTCACAATATGTGTTGATGAAGCATGCTTAGAAAGATCAAAACAAGAAAGAAATTCCTCAAAACATTGTCATCGGAGTATTCATGACTTGTTCTCTAGAACCTCAAAACTTGAAAGCGTAAAATCTTTAGAGCTTGAGAAGTCTTCAGAAGTTCTTTCATTAGAGTCACATTTATAAGATTTAGACTAACGTTCTTTAGAACAGTTGTATATAAGCATTCCAAAACGTGACAATTTCTTTGTAAAGCGCACTTTATATCTTTTCGGAGTCAGGGTGTGTTGATTCCAGCAATTGATGATGTCACACACCATTCTATCAGAGTCAGAACCTGTTAGAAAAAGCTACACACTAGACAAAATTATTTTCTAAGAAATAATGTATTATTATCATCAAAACTAAATTCCAGATACATAACCAAATCTTGTTCTTACAATCTCCTCCCTTTTTATGATGAGAAAACCTGTATTTAGATGAATAATTTTTACAGGTTTAATCACATAAAACAAATAAGATTTAGCTATAAAGATCCCCTGAGTTCTATATTCTCAAAATTTATCTCAGCTTGTTCAGAGGATCCCCCTGAGTTCAAGACTTATGAAATAATTTTTGAAGTATAAAAAACTTTAATCAGCATGAAAGGAATACTTTCCTAATTAAGACACTATAAGAGTCTTGATTGGTAACACCATCAGAGTCGTAGTAGAGATACCTGATTCATCACTAGTCTGAATAGAAGTGTCTGGTTTGTGATCTCAGATCCTGGCTTGCTATTAGAACATGATGACGTATCCGAACTTGGTTTTGATAGAGTATCAGAACCTTGGTTGAACCTGGTTGATGTGTCAGAGTCTGTGATGAGTGCCAAATTATTGTGAATTTGAGTGTGAATAATTAGCACTCATCGGCTTAATTCATTTACTTTTCATCAATAAACGTCAACTTTATGTATATTCGATATAGTTTACATTATAGTGTGTGTATAATGTGTTATCGTGTAAATATCATTGAGTATAATTGTTTTTATCTCATTTTTGTAGGTATCCAAGAAATTGTATTTAGTCATGGTTATATAGAGTATTGAATAAGCTACCGAACACTTTCGATCATGCGTAAATTGGAGTTACGGTTCTCAAGTTATAGCAAAAACAAGTGCTGGTTTTTTTTCATGACAACACATAGCGCGTTAAGCGCACGATTTAGGGCTAAGCGCGGTCTGCAATTTTCAGACTCATTAAAAATGTGAAAAAACACATTTTTAGGTTATGGGTTGGGTATTTTTGAGTCCCAACACCATCACCTTCATTTTTTGGTAGAGAGAGGCTTAGAAACAATATTTGGAGGTTGCAATCGGATAATCCGGAGTCAAATTTCTCATTGATTGGTGTTGACAAATCAATAAATGTTTGGTTCCTTTTCTTCTCTTCTCTTTGTAATCTTTAATTGTTGGAGTTTGTATGTATATTTAATTTGATTCTATGTATATTTACTGATTATGGTGTTGTATAAAATCTATTTCTCAAATCTGTATCGGTGATTATCCTTGATTTTTTCTTTCTGCTTGGGGTTTGGGTTGCTATAGATATATACTTCTCAAATCTTTATCTAGGATGATTATCTATTAGTTTATGGATTATAGAGATAGATTTAGAGATGATAATCATTGTAGGTATCAGATCTTAATGCCTTCGTGTTATTGGTGTTGCGCGAGAGATTGCGGACACGAGCAATATGGTAGTCTCCAACTTTGCATTAAACATGACCTCTATTTTGGAATACTTCGAACGATACTTGATGATTTTGATGAGTGATTTGGGTCGAGTGCAATTGATTAGTAGGTTTAAGTAGTTGATAGGTGAATATAATGCAAATCCGTCAGTTTTTCTCGGATCCAAAGAATGTATTCTTTTATGTTCATATCTTTTAATTCCCGCATTTACTTTAAACTCATTTTAAAACAAAACTCATAAACGAGAGCCTTGTCGAACAGAGATTTGATAATCACTAATACTTGTGGAGACGATATGATAAAACTATAAAAATACTTACTTTTTCTTGCCGCTTTACCATTTCAGCAAAATGGCGTCGTTGTCGGGGATTAGTGTTTTTATTGGATTACATTGTGATAGTTTCTTTATTTTTAAATTTTACACATAATGTCCATATTGTATAAATTCTTGTTTTATAGTTATTTTTTGTACTTGTGAATTTGTATGTGTTTTCTTTACTTGTAAATATCGTATACTTTTTTGGTTCCTTTCATGTTTGCTTGTGTGTTTTGGTTAGGAATAGTCAGGCGGAAGAAACTTGGAGGAATGTTCATAAATATAGGAGTCAAGCTAACGACGCAATACAAGCATATTTTATTGTTTTTCATTGTTTTTTAGTATAGGTAGTGTGGTGAAATTGACTAAACAAATTTAAATCGGACCAGCTCTAAAAATTTCAAATCTTCACTTTTAAATTCGTTTATCAATTTTCACCCGGTCTATTAATATGTTTATAATTGTTGTTTAATGTGTTTTTTTTGTTGTGTTTGTCCAAGAGCTTGTTTTGAGTAAATTTAGGAAACTTTTGGTGATTGTCCAAGTTTGAACGTTTCAACTTGCGAATGTATGGTAATTATATTTGTTTGAAGTTGGTACACGCAAGGTAATCGTTTATCTCTTTCTAGAACATATCATGTTTAAGAGACTTTTCTTTTGTACAAAATTTCTTGTCATTCATTCTTTTGCCATACTTGTTCATTCTTGAATCACATTAGGATAAAACCCTTTTTGTGAGGTTTCTTCCATTGTTTACTATATGCAGGAGACCAACTTTCTTGGTAACTCGATTTTTATTATGCTTAATATTTTGTTTGTGTTGATTATATGAAATCATGAAAAGGATCAAGGTATTTATGTTTCATTTTGAGCACAACTACCTAGCCAAATAGTTAATTCACCTTGTGAGTGTGTGATCATTTGTAACCCCTTTGAGCCTTTGGTTATTATCCATGTTGTTTGAACTTCACTCTTGTCTATGAGTATCAAATTCACTTTTTGCATGGACTTTGATTGTTGTTTTTTCTTGAACCCTCAACTTTGTGTTGTTGTATGAATTTTTACCTTGTCTTAGAAAGTAGGGAGTATATATATGATGACGTTGGTTAAATTCAAGCTGGGAAGAGAATGATTGTTCACTTATTGGTTAATTTCTATGAGGTTTAAAAAAAGAAGAAGAAAATATGTGAAAAAGAAAAGAAAAGAAAAAAGAAATAAAAAATTGAAAAAACTTTGAAAAATAAAAACAATAAAGAGTTCAAATAATTGTGCAAATAAGTATGGTGTTTTTGTGTGACAAATTGGGAATGTGGAAGAATATTGATTGAAATTGTATTGCTTGAGTCTTTGGTGAATTGATCACTCCCTTAGGTTTAGGAAAGTTTTTGTTTCAATTATCTTTATATATTGCCCCTTGTTTGTTAACCAAGCCACATTACAACCTTGAAATCCCTTGTGATTCTTGCTTTTATATTTTCAATTTGAATTTTTGGATGAATTTATAATTTAACTTGTTGTTAACTTGATTGTTGGTTGAGAGTAAAAGCACCCATTATTTTTGTTACTCATCTATCGATGAATTGTGTGCTAGGTGTGATTAATTTTTGAACTTTGTATTGTTTTAGAATCATTGACATGTGTTTTGTATTTAGGAGATATTTTTTTGTCATGCTACCGTTGTAGTTTAGTGGTAAGTATTTGCTTTGCTTGTGTGTTTTTGATTTGAACCATCCATTTATTTTCCGTTTTCAAAACCTGTTGATTCATAATTCTTCGATTTTTGCTTTTGTTTCTTTGAGTTGGTTAATTCTTGTTTAGGGACAAACAAGTCTAAGTTGGGGAGAGTTTGATGAGTGATAAATTGTTGTGAATTTTAGTGTGAATAATTCACACTCATCGGCTTAATTCATTTACTTTTCGTGAATAAACCTCAACTTTAGTGTATATTCGGTATGATTTGCATTATAGTGTATATAGTGCGTTATCGTGTAAATATCATTGAGTTTAATTGTTTTTATCTCATTTTTGAAGGTATTCAATAAATTGTATTTAGTCATGGTTAGATATAGCATTGAATAAGTTATTGAATTCTATCTATCGTACGTAAGTCAGAGTTACGATTCTCAAGTAATAGCGAAAACAAGTGCTGATTTTTTTCATGACAGTACAGAGTGTGCTAAGCGCCCGATTTGGGGTAAGTGCGATATGTAATTTCCAGACACATTAAATAGGTGAAAAAACACATTGTTAGGTTATGGTTTTGGTATTTTTGAGTCCCAACACCATAACCTTCATATTTTTGGTAGAGAAAGGCTTAGAAAAAACATTTGGAGGTTGTAATACGGTGGGAGAACTGACTTGGTTGTTTTGTGTTTGATCGCAATTGTTGCGGATAGCAAGAGTCACCACCGACTTTTCTTTTATCCAAATAAGAAAGGGTGAAAAGAACAAGAAAGACCTTTGAGATATTTTCTTGAGTTTGGGGAGTAGATTATGAAAAGGGAAGGTGTTAGCACCCTTTTCATCCATAGTTATCTATGGGCTCTTAGTTGCTTGCTAGATCAAAAATGCTTTGTTTGAAAAGATGCTTTGTGATGTAAGTTTAAAAATATTTTGCAAAATTCCTTTGTTGCGGAGAACTTTGTAATGATTCTCGTCTCTATAAGAATGCATACAAAGTGTTGGTTTTGAAAATAGTTCAAAGAGATGTTTGTTTTTGAAGATGTTTTTGAAAGTGTAAGTGTGAAAATGGTTTTGATTTAGGAGAAAGCAACTACGAGCGTCCTACCTACTCAGAAGGTCTGTGTTCTTTTCCTCCTCCTTTAAATGTTGCTATCTTACCATTGATTTGGTAAGAAGCCCAATCGTTGGATGTGAAGGGACAGGCGTGGGTCAATTGTATAGTCATAGAAGGAAACTTATGAGACGTTTTAGCAATTCTCGTATGGGACTAGATCGTTTACTGAAGGCAACAAAGAGGGACATCGAGGGACTACGATCTTTTTATCGAGGGTCTTTTCTAAAACGCCCATATTCGAGGGACATGACTATTTTCCGAGGCAACAAGTGAGATTACCCTAGAGGTGCATGCGTGTGAAGTGTGTTTGATTGAATGCATTTAGTCTTGAATTTGGGTTGTCTACTTGTTGATTTTAACTCTTTCCATACACAACCTAATTACTAGCATTTTATATAAAAGCGGTAAATTGCGGAAAAATAAATGTCCTACGCTATTACATATTTTGGGGATGGGGTATACACATTTACAAATGGGGTTTGGAAAGCAATAAAAGTCCTAATTATTACAACCATATTGAATAGAAATGAAATAAAATATATAGAAAAATATAAAACAAGAATAGTGTAAAAGAGAGAAAGAAAAGAAATTATGGATCAAAGCATGTGTCCTTCGATTCACACCCTTTTTCCTTCTTTCGTTTGGGCCTGCAATCAGTGTGTATTGAAGCTTGCATCCTTTGATTCAAACACCCTTTCCTTTCATTTGAGTCTACAAATCAGTGTGTATCGAAGCACACCCTTCGATTCACACACCTTTTTCTGTTTTCTTTTGTTTGGGACATGATAGCAGTATGGGTCGAAGCCATGCTAATATTGCTTCATGGCCTGTATAGGTTAGTCTCTAACATGTATTTGGACAAGAAAAGCAATCAAACGAAAAGGGTAGAAACGAAAAATAAGAAAAAGGTTATTTATATGCTTGAAATGAAGGGTTAATGTCAGGAAGACTTACCTTGAATCTGGAGTTGGTGCTTTTGGACTTTGAGTGATTTCCCTGGATATCCTTGAATTCGAAAGAAAAGAACAGGGGAATTATGTTTCTTTGATTCTGGACTCGAAAGCAAAGAAAAGTAGAGTTGTGTTTCTTTGGTTCTGGATTCGAAGGAAAAGAAACAAGTGTTGTGTTTCTTTAGTTCTGGATCAAAAGAACAGAAACAAAGGTGTGGATTTTTTATTCTGGTTTTGAGAGTGTTAAGTGTTCTCTCCTTTCTTTTCCTTGCCAACAAATCTCTCTTCAGCC